GACAGAGAGGAGGGCAGTGAGATCGACCGCCTCATGAGGCAGAGGCAGAGAGAGAGAGAGAGAGAGAGAGAGACATACACACACACTCACACTCTCTGTCTCTGTCTCTGCCTCTGCCGGTTAGCGCGGTCGATGTTCATAATAAAGACACACCCAACACACAGAGAGAGCGGAGTGTATAAGCGGTTTACCTGGAGGCACAGGCTCTCCAGGCTCGTGCGCACGATCTCCGGGAGCTGGTACTCGTTCATCTCCGACACCTTGCTCCTGGGGTACACGTGCCAGCACCGCCCAGGCTGGACGCGGCCGGCGCGGCCGCGGCGCTGCTTGGAGCTGGCCTGGGAGACCCAAGCCGGGAGAAGGCTTTGCACCTGGTGTGGTGACAATCGTCAACAGTGCCATCAGGCGGTGGGGGGTGGGGGTTAGGACTACTACGCAACAAACACACGCCGGCAACGGGCTTTGCGCCTGATCTCCATACGGTTAATCTTCTGGAAAAGGTGCGCTTGTGGGGGGTGGGGGTGGGGATCGGTAGTGCGCGGGGGGTTACCAATACTATGCAACAACGACAGGTCGGTAGCAGGCTTTGCAACTGATCTCGACACGGTTGGTCTTCGGGAGAGGTGTGGGAAGGGATGGCGGGGGGATGGGAAGGCTGGGGATTTGGGGGGGTGGGCTAGGATAGGCTTGTACGGCGTGAGACACGGCACACAAAGAACACCGATCAAGCCGAATGCAACGACCCCAAATGAGATGCCTCTGAGGGGGAATTACTCTGGTGGTTCTTACGATCGAGTACCACACAAACGTCTGGTACCCGATCCTGTTCTCCATTCACCTATTTTCTGTCATGTCCTTCAAGACAATCCGATGAGATCCCGTGATCACAGGACACATGCGATTCCAAGACAAACCCACGACCGAGAGAAAAACCCAAAACGCACAAACACCGCATCAGCGACAGGCATTGAACGTGAACTAGTCCACACTATGTCCGTGAAAGAAAAACAAAAAAAAGACCGATAGTCGCCAACAATAAATAGCAGATAGATGCTATGTCTGTTAACAAAAAACGAAAAAGAAGATGGATGTAACAACAAAAAACATGGGATGCTGTCTTCACCTTTGCCTCAGGATCGTAACTCTTCTCCTTGTGCTTGCCGCCATCGATGACGTAAACAACGTCGTCGATGGTGATGGAAGACTCGGCAATGTTGGTCGCGATGACGATCTGAACGAACGCCACAAACACACACACGGACATGCCAAACGCGTCAGTAGCGGTAAACCGTGGAAGTCCCGGCGGTGCCGGTCGAGATCGATCACAATCGCTATTGTATTGTCTCGGTCATCGTAGTTCGTGAGAGGTGGAATCATCGGCGACATTGGTGGCGATCGCGATCAGTCTCCTTCCGACAATTTCTCGCAAAAAAAAAAAAAAAGTGCCAGTAAGCACAGCAAGAGCTTTCAAAGACTGGAAACGCGTGGTGCACGATCGCGTTGCTGTGGAGCACAAGTATGCCAGTATCACAGAGGTGACAGCAATCTATCAATTGCGTGAGGCCATATATACTGGTTTGAGTCACGAGTCTACTCAATCGTTTGTGACACCGTGGTCGAAACATTGCTGGTCGAAAAAAAACAAGGGTGACGAAATCTGTCGTTTGGGCGGGATGTATGTGTGCGTTCGTCTCATATATTTAGGCATATATTGCCATCACAAGAAACTGAAACACAAACATCGTTACGCACAAAATAGAGTTTATTGCCCAGGTGGTCACCAGCAAG